AAAAAAAAAAAAAAAAAAAAAAAAAAAAAAAAAAAAAAACATTTTGATTTCAATATAAGAGTCTTACTTTTAAATTTTGCAGAAGTTAAGAAAATAGGAACAGGACTTGATGGAAAAGTAACGCCTTTGAATTAAAATCCAATGTTGTTTGTTGGCTGATTCCATATGACTGACCGCAGCTTGCTTGCAATATCATGTTCGAATAATCTGTGAAAAACAACTCACTGTATTTGATTGATTATCTACTGGCTTAGACTTCATTTGTGACAGTTTTTTTAAATGTTTTATAAAATAAATTTTTAATACAAAAAATTTTTGAACTCAAAATTTTTATACTATAAAACTATTTTAAAAAGTACTACAAAAACTATCTCAAATAAAATCTTACTCATCTCATCATTTCTTTCCACTTAGCCTTTTTAGCATAAAAATTTTTTTTGCTAGATTTTTATTTTTTTGGACGGGGGTATCTACCCGCTGTCACTCTCATAGAGGAGATGCTTGACGGAGTAACTAATTCCTTGATGGGCCTAGCAGCAACCAACCCCACAAATGTAGGGCCACGCACTTATTTTCTCCCCACTTAAAAAGTCGTGTCGCATGAGAGAAGAATCGAATGTAGGTTGGGGTGTTCCCAACCGTGCTCACGCACCAACCCAACTAAGACCGATGGGGTATTTTTGCGAGATTTGAGGGTGTGTGTTCGGTTGGTTTGAATAGTTTGATTTAAGAATTAGCTAAACCAACAAATTGAATCGACTAAATTGTTTTTCAAACAAACTAAACAAAACCAAACTTTAATGCGGTTAGTTTTGTTTGATTTTGGATCAATTGAAGTAAAACTAACTTAACAAAAAGTTTAATTATCTTTAGCTTAAGTAATACATATTAAGAAGAATACTATTTTTTTTTAATTTATAATTTTGACATGTAGAATAAATAATATTTATATCATTTATTTATTAACATATTTTTGCTGATTTAATATTTAAAGAAATGAATATAATTTAATTGAGTTACAAAAGTAAAAATCAAATCAATAACAAAAAATAAAAAAAAAATCTAAATTATAATTAGTAATTGAACTAATATTTAAGATATAAACTAAATCAATCAAATAATATTAACTAAATTTAAATTTTAAATTTTATTTAAATAATACACACTCCTAACGAGCTTTGAATAAATAACTATTGCTTACTGTTTGATTATTCAAGCCAGTTTGGACACCCGGGCCTGGATAAACCCGAGCCCAATACATTACAACGGGCCTGTTTGACCCGCCCACGCACTAATCAAGACATCTGTAAGGCCCGGCTGGGCCATGCCCGATACGGCCTAGCCCTTCATCAGGATGCCCGATTAATCGAACGGTCTGAGAGAAATTTCGAGAGCCGATAAATGAAAAAACCCTAGCGATCCTCGGCTGCGCGCCGTGTCTTCTGCAATTGCACAGGTGCGATACTGCAATTTTGGTTCTGGATCGTTTATCATATCGTGAGATTGGTTTGGTTTTCCTCGATCATTTTTGTTTTCATTGTTTCATGTAAAGTAGCTGATCGCGAGTTACGCCACCCAACAGCTGAAGATCTGTTGCCTTGATACGAAATACCCTTTTTAAGTTGTTTTTCTTTTGTTTGTTCTTCCAATTTCTTTTCCCTTTTAGACGATTTTGCATATTTATCAGGTTGTAGAAAACAAGGCATGCAATTTTATGTAGAAATTCTGGGCTTTTAGGTCTTCCTTTTTCAGTATATTTGTGTTCTGTGCTTAAGCAAATTCCATTTGTAACTCATCCTTCTTTCTGTTGTTTGTGAAGGTAAACGAAGCAGAGCTTTGAAAATCCAGGTCAGAAGGGATGGTGCTCAAGTATGTGCTTCTGTGCTATTGATTAAATTGGAATTATAAGCTTGTTAAAAATGACCATTTGCGCACGCTAGAATGTTTGTTTTGGCTTATGTTTTTGGTAACGGGCATATGACCTAGTTTCATTGTTTTTGCGGTCATATTTCTATATTTTGTGGCTGCTATAGCATGTCTGTTCATTTTTTGTGGCATATGGATAGCTTTAGAGCATTCTTTTCCAACTTTGTAATTGATGTTGCATCTCGTTTGTTGCATCTTTGACTTTGTTCTCTGATGTGTTTGTGGTGGCTGTGAATTTATTTTTTTCTTCATGTGCATTCTTAAATGCGATGGATCTCTTATGAATAACTCAATATTGGGAGTTATATTAGGCATTAAAGACAGTTATAAAGAGTTGTGATTATTTTGAAAAGGTGTTTGCTTTGCTTTTTAAATCTCCTATGGAATTATATATGCCACATATATGAGTTTAATTAATTTTGTCTGTTTTTTTAGGACTGAACTCTGTCGATTTAGTGGTGCGAAGATTTACCCTGGAAAGGGTATCAGATTTGTTCGCGGCGACTCCCAAGTAGGTTTATTATGTGTTCACAAACCTCATTAATTTGTTGAATTGGTTTTTCGTATTCTTATTCTTGAAATTTTGTTGCTTTTAGGTGTTTCTTTTTTCAAACTCAAAATGCAAGCGGTACTTTCATAATCGTTTGAAACCTGCCAAGCTTACCTGGACAGCAATGTACAGGAAACAACACAAAAAGGTAATTGTTTGCATTTTTATTTTATTTTTATGTGATTTTTGTTTCTTTAAACTTCTTTAAAAGCTTTTGAGACGCAACTATAAAAACCTTGATGTCAAAGTTGAAATCTTACAATGCTAAATGTTGATGGTTGATAAATGTTCTGCGCATTTTATGACATTTATGTTGTGCATATTCGTTGATGTTTCTTGATGATTGGTGCATACTTAGATTAATTTTGATCAACCTCCTTATTCCAAATCAACATTGTTCAGACTGGCATTGAATTTATTGGGTATCTTTCAGAAGCTTCGTGCAGTTAGCATCTTTTAAGTTTATATGTGATGGGATCATGCTTGATTGATCTAGATATTGTAACCATTAACCAATGAAGCTCATCTCTAATTGCAGAGATGATGTATTGTCAACTCAATTAATGGGTGCATGCGGCCTTGTGAACAAATACCCTTTTGAATGAAAGCATGCATGATTGCCTTTCGTTATTATTTTGAGAAATTTCTATTAGTTATTCATGATGTTTCCTACTTTCCTTCCATTTGTGCTCTCTTATATACTTTGGTTGAACAATTGTTTTTCTCTTTTGGAAGTCCTTTTGTGACATTGAAATTATCCTTCTTTTGAATTTTGAGACACAATCCGGTGTGGGGATTGGTTTGCTAGTAGTCTAAGTTTTTGAAAAAAATTTAACTGTTTATTTAGATTGTGTGGTGTAAATGGATGACTCAAGTGCATGAATAATAAATGCCAAAATTGTTAATCGAAAACCATTTAAGACATGCAACTAAGCATGAATTAAGAGGCCATAGAGTTTTAGGGTGGTTTGCCAACTTAATTTGTCAACATCCTCTCTCCAAGCACCTCACTTGGAAATTCCGCTATTTATGATCCATTGCAAACCTCTGGTTGAACAAGCTTTTTAAGAAAATTTCTTACATTTGGCAAGGCTCCAAATCCTTTCTGCATGTCAAGGAGAGGCCTTCCCTACTATTGTTTCTTAAAGGTAAGTTACTGTCATAGGTGCTTAGACTAGCAGCGGCGTGGCTATAGTTGTTTGGACACATCCCAAGCAGGTGCTTTTAAGAATACATGCTTAAGTGAGCATCTTGTCTTGAAACACAAAGTAGTTTGGTGAATGGGTTAGATTGATTTGAGAGATGTGCGCTAATACTTCACATGCCTTGTAGATTATGTACGTTTGATAACAATATATGTGATAGACAAGTTATTATAGTGAAACTACTTCAAATGCCACCCTTGCTCAATCCATTGATGAATATGTTTTCTCTAAAATTCTATCCATGTTATCTTTCTTTTACTCCTTATTCCTTAGTCACTTATTATATCCACTTGTTTGATGTACACAGTTCCTACCATTCAAGATTCATGTTCAAACAACCAAGTTTTTTTAATTACCTTATTTCCAATAAATATCACTTTAGTTGTTTGTATGATTATTACTTAATTTGTTCTTTCTAGCTTTTTAATGCATCAATATTATGATTCTCATTTCTGCCAAGCTTAACTTAGCTTGAATTTTTATTACCAAGCATTTGGATCCAAACAACATCTTTGGCCTTCTTGTAGTTTAAAAATATTATCCTTTCCATGTTATGCTCTTATCACACAGTACTTCTCTATGATCATTTTATTTTAACCACATAACATTAAATTTAAAAAAAATTATATTCTTACTTGTTTCCCCATTCTTCTATATAATATATCCATGATTCTTAAATCTATCATGCATGCATCACTTTATGTTCCAATAATAATGTTGAATGATCATTAAATTTAACACCCATTAAAATCTCTTTTCATAAAATCATCATTTGTCCTACTAGTTTAAACCCATTTATATCTTAAGAAATTTGTCTATTGTTCTAACTTCTCATTTATTTTAATAGATCTTCGATCTATCAGAATTGTAATTTGTAAAAAACATATATCATGATGTATTGAATATCTTTTTAAGCATATCTGATATCTATTATCAATGCAAAGAGATATGCACTCAATGTTAATCATTGATGTAATCCCATTGTAATTGAAAATTCTTTGTTAACTCATCAATTAGTTCTCTATTATGAGTTATTGTTCAACACCCATCTTGAATACTTTCAACATATTTTGATGCATTTCTTGCTTGTTATGCGCCAAATTAATTTTTTCTGGTCCTCGATTATATTCCTTCTCTAGATCTATAAATTTATATGAATGTATTCTCATTACTCTCCACATTTTTTAAGTAATTATCTTATTTTAAAAGTTATGTTCATGGTAGGTCTTCCAGCATCGACATCAAATTGCTTCTCTAAAGTTGACATAATTTTTTATATCTATGCTCCATTGCTCTTTCCAATAGTTTCATTACATGATCATAAGTTTGATTTTTCTCTAATTTGCACAATCTTGAACAAGATTAGTGCTAAAATACTTATTTTTCATTCATTTGACCTCCTAATCTTCAAAATCTCTTTCCTACCTCTTTATTTCATTATGAAGCCTTTTTAGTATATAATTTGTTCTTGAATCTTCTAAAATTTGTACAAACTTCTTAGTCGAAGTAGCATCCTATCTGACATGAAGTTTACCTCAATTTAAGAATTCAATTTACCTCTCAACAACTTCATCTTAAATGATTAACAATTTCTCACTTCTAAATTTGACCACCTTATCTTAGGGCAGTTTTTTTAACTAATTTTTTATACTTTTAAATTTTAATATACATTCATAACTACAACTTTATGTTTTATGATTAAAATTTCTTAGAATTGCATTACAATCTTTACTTTTTTATTTTTATTTTTTATTGAGTAAAACAAAGTCTTTTTTTTATTTAAAGGCTTAACTTGTATATGTAATTAAATTGTTTCTAATTTCTTAAAGTGTGCACATGCTACTGCAAAATCAAAATAAAGTATAGTTTCTCATTTTGTTTATATATTTTATTGCATAGTGCATACCATCATGATTTCACTCATAGACCATTCTACTAAAGCCTATATGTTCATATAAGTCACCATTAATAAATATCATTTCTTAGTTATATGTTGTATTAGTTCATTCATTTCTTTTTAAAATTGAATTTTCAAATTACAATTCTAATCCAATTTGTACAGTATAAATAAGAGCCATATTTATGATTTTCTCATCAATAATCATATTAATGTCAATCAACTGTTAATGAGCAAAATTTACTTAAATAATTCTATCTTTTAATTATCTCTCCGCTACTAACCCAACGCTATTTCTCTTGTTAATGTTTCCAACAGACAATAACTAAAGCTTTTTTAATTTGAAAGAAAAATAATATTTATTCTTCTTCTTACTATTATGTTCATTATTTCTTTCGTCTATCCATTTAAAGTTCCTAAATTCCATCTAATAAATAAATTTTTAATTTTCTCCACAATTGAGTTGAATTTTAGCCTGCCATTAAAGAACATATATGGTTTACTTCCAGCCCTTTTATCTAATTTATTACCGCAATGGAATTTTCTGACATATTGGGTGGCATTTTACTTTTTATTTTTCTTATAAAATTTTTATTTATGGATTAGGACATCCATGATGAAACTGTGAAGAAAAGGCGTCGTGCTGCAAAGAAGCCCCATTCCAGGTCAATTGTTGGCGCTTCATTGGAAGTTATTCAGAAGAAAAGAACTGAGAAACCTGAAGTTCGGGATGCTGCTAGAGAAGCAGCTCTGCGGTATGGTGTAATATTACTAAATAGCCTTGATTTTCTGCTAAAAGTTATTAATTAGAAATTAGATCAATTTGAAAGAAATTAAGGTTTCATTTGGGACAGCTTTTTTATTGTTTCTTGAAATAGCTTTTTAATATAAATATTAAAATTTTTATAGAAAAAACGGCTTCAAGAAGCAGTAAGAAAGCTGTCCCAACCGAAGCCTAAAACCTTAAATTTTGATGTCTGCCTGATGAGGATTATGGTGGTTTTAAGCTTCTTTTCCATCCTCTGCTTCTATGAACTACCGTGATTTTCTTATCATGGATCTAACTTGTTTTCCTTCTGTTTCTATTACACTCTGCAGTGAGATCAAGGAGCGGATAAAGAAGACCAAGGACGAAAAGAAGGCTAAGAAGGCCGAGGTTTTGGCCAAAGTACAGAAGACCCAGACAAAGGGTAATGTGCCCAAGGGTTCCAAAGGACCAAAGCTCGGTGGTGGTGGTGGGAAGCGTTGAGGACTTGGTATCTTTTATCATTTTTCTACTTTAGTTCACATGTAACCCGAAGTATACTTCTGGTTGCGTTCTCTTGCTATGGATAACTTTAGAGTTCCTTTTTTTTTTTTATTTTTTTTTATAACTTTAGAGTTCCTTTGTTGTGATGGACTCCGGATATGATATCAGATCTAAATTTCCTTCATTCTGTCTGTTTTGTGACTGTAGTTGTTATTTTATTTTATGTAATCTTCGTCTTTGAAAGTTGTTTTTGATATTGGTGCAATTACTTCAATCACTTTAGTCAGGGTTCATGTGGATGCTTTAACATGATTGAGGTGTATTTGTGGACCGCAAAACTCATTTTTTGGCAAAACTTATCTAATTTCAAGCAGTCAAATGGGGCCACGGTAGCAAGTTATTTCAATTTGGTTCAAAGCCTGCATTCATGGAAAAATTATTCTGTGCGGACGTCAAGAGATTAATCAGAATGCACCACGTTACGCCTTCGCTCAGTACTGTAGCTCGGTACCGCGGCTTGGTAATGTTGACGTGGTTGCACCTGATTCGTCTCCGGACATAGAGCCACGTCTGACATTTGTATAGAATAATTTCTTGCATTCATGATGGCCCATCGTGCATCTTATTGATGCTGTTTGTTACTATTCTGATAGATAGTATTCATAATCTTTAAACAAATACTATTAATTTATCTGGTGATAGATGAATGGTGCACCCATAATTTGTTATATTAGTATAGCTCTGCTAATCACCTTTATCTGAGCTTACTGCCGTTTATTTATTTTCATATCATAGAGACTCATTTGCTATTCTTTAGAATGCTTCTCAACAGTAAACTAATGGTTTGATGTGGTTTTTTGTAATGTATTGATTATTAGTAATTGTCAATGGTTGTTAGTAGTATTAAGGTTGATAAATTTTTTATTATTTTTAAAGTAATATTTTAGCACAAAATTTTTGAATTTGAAAATTTTCTATTAAAAATTATTTTAAAAAGTAATAAAAAAATTATCGCAAATGAAGTCTTTAATGACTGTTTTCTATTTAGAACTGCAAATGTAATTCACTATTTTTATTTGTCAAAATCATTTTTCTTTTTATCAAAGAAACCTCAAACATAAAACGTCTCAAATGATTGTTAAATGAATGTAATATATTTGAAATATTTAGAGTTGTTTGGATTAGTATAAAATAAATATATATTTTTTAAAAAAAACAGATTTTCAAATTAAAAACAGCCAAATGAGCCCACAGATTATCAAAATAGATTGCACCATCAAGCATCTTAAATTTGCATCACAGCCTTTTATCAGCTGGAGGGACTATATTGCTTTCCTCACCGTTATTGAAAAATAAGCATCATAACTTCTCCATTTTTATAGTTTCTATTGAAGGAGTTTGAATAAAATCATTAATTTTACTATTACTCTAAAAAATAATGTAGCTATTCAAAACGGATTCTTAAAACTTAGTGACATATATTTTGAAACTATGAAAATGTACTTGATAATTAAATGATCATAAGAGTTCTTGAAATTATATATGTCATTAATTTTAATGATGTTAGAAGGAATGAATGCTTTATAACTCTAGCATTAATGGTCATAACATTCAAAATTTAATGAGAGTACAATGGCCCTGTTGACCTTGATTTTGCCAAGACCCGAGCCCTGGGTCAACTTGGTTGACCAAGTCAACCTAGGTTGACCTACTAGGCCTTTTGAGCCCAAATCAATTTTAAATCAATTTAAACCCATCCATTGCTCAAATCTCATCCCCTTTTGGCTCTCTTGACTGATTTGATCAAGTCAAAGTTTGACTTGGTCAAATCAAGTCTTAAATATGTTATAATAGCCTATTTAATTAAAATTAAAATCCCTTTAATACATTTAAGAGCCCATTGACGTTTTGAAATTGAAATATCGTTCAAATCAACTTAATTTCCCTCCCAATTAGAGCTAGATTTGATCCAAGCCGTCCATGATAGGTTTGGGTTGTTTAAATAGAAAATTTTAGGTCATTTTATAGACTTTTTGGCTCTTGCTTGATCTGGAGACCACCTCAGGTCCTGAGATTTGGTGAGAGCACTCCTGCAACCTTCCTCCACGTTTTCCAACACAACCCCGACCTCCTTGAGTCACCGGCGGCGAGATCCCGGCGAGATCGAGCCCCACGTTCCTTTCAGGCTGATTTCCGTTCGATCGATGGAGATTTGGAGCTCGATTTTAAGAGAAGAAATATTCCTGCATCATTCACGAGTCCAACGAGCCTAAGAACGCAAAAATCCGACCGTTAGATCTCTCGAAAACCCTTAGAATAGATCACATAGCTTCGAGTTAAATAGCTTTTCGAAAAGTTGATTATTTGCCAAATAAACGCTTCCCCATGAATGCTCTTCATGTATAGAGTCTATGTTTCAAATTTCATCGCGTTTCATTGAGTATTTTGGGATAATGAGGCAAAAAACCATTTAGGGTTTTGGTTCGTCCCTTCTGAATTACACGAAATCGCAGCCGTTGTTCTTTAGATTAGTCTAGATCAACGACTGTGATTTCGCTGTTCTGTGTTTGGGCCAAACAGCGGATCCCAAACCCCGTCTACGTGGTTAAGTGGCTCGGTACGGCGGCAATCATTGCCGAGGTTCTGGGAACGAATTTGAGCGCGCCACGTGGCAATCCGAGGGCATTTCTGGATTTTTTTATGTTTTAACTTTAAAAAATAATAGAAAATTCAATTTCGCTCCGTTTTTCGCGCAGAATACCTCGAATCGATCGTATTTGTGCCCTTTTTAATTTAAAATTATTTTCATTTAAAAATTATAATTATATTTTTATTTATTGCAAAAACAGTAAAAATACCTTTTTATATTATTTATTTAAAATGTTATTTTAATAATAATTATTAGTATATCATTATTTTAATTATATTTATAATAAATATGATGTTT